AATGATGACATCCAGAGAGTCTGGGATCTAGTTCTGGAGAAGAAAGAATAATAATGATGACATCCAGAGAGTCTGGGATCTAGTTCTGGAGAAGAAAGAATAATAATGATGACATCCAGACAGTCTGGGATCTAGTTCTGGAGAAGAAAGAATAATAATGATGACATCCAGACAGTCTGGGATCTAGTTCTGGAGAAGAAAGAATAGTTAATCATGACACTTATCAAATAAAACATATTCTTTGTCCTGTGATGACAGAGGCCAAACCACCCTTAGGTATCACCAAGTACAAGGTGTCTTAACTGTTTACATGGCTGGTACAATAAACAATAGATAAAATGACACTGAAGATACACATAATTTCAGAGTTTTATGCAAAAAATTTCAAATACATCCTTCCCCATTGTTTCACCAGTGCAGCTCTTAACTCTATGATGCTATTAGGCTGTGGCTGAGGATTATGAAGTTGTCTGCCCAGTTCATCCCAGCTGCTCTCTTTGCTGAGGATTTGATAATTCACAATGGCTGCCACTAACAGATATTCCTTTGGTATAAATCTATTGTGTACATTATTTCTGTCACCATAGAGCTTACCCTTGATGCTATTATTGAAGGGATAGAAGAAGGCCACCATCAAGTTGATCAACACAGCCAGATTGAAGGCAATGCTGCTCCACAGGGTCATGTGACTACTGATCCAAAACAACGCAGGGGAGGCTGAAATACAACGGTAGAGACTATGAAGTACAGATATTACATACAAATAAATATTAAGATGCCAGTCATGTACAATAAATCCTTCCATCCTAGAAAATTTGTCTTACATTTCAGTCATCAAAAAGAATTCCAATTAAAAAAATTATTCTATTTTCATAAAACAAATTATAATGGAGTTGGTTTATGTTACTTTTGATTGTGGTAGAATAGCTGGTGATGCATCTAGCATAACTAACGTAATATCTGCATGACTGACAACTTTTTACATTCAGGGCTACTCCCATGAGTTGGCACATTCATATTTCATTCCACCCAGTTGAGTAAGACAGACTAAGAAAGGCACAAACATTTTCTCACCTACCCTGTGAGTTCCCATTTATAATAAACAAGATCCAGTAAAATATGTTGCCTTCCCTGAATATTTCATAGCCTGTATAGCCCTCGCATGGTATAGGAGTCATTAAACAAATGATGAAAAGAGCATATCTGACTTTAGCATTACACCATTTAGCTGATACGTGTGTATAAACTCAGCATCTCATATACCAAAATAAAATGGTCTTTGCTGCAGAGACCTACTCTAATGCCTACTCTAATGGCTCAACAGTCTTAGGCTCACTTCTCACAGACTTAACCATGAAGATCAGTTCTGGTGTTGGCTTTATATACATATCCCTGCTGTCCATAAATCACCTGTCTTCCACAAAGCTATGTACCCACCTCGCAGTTTCTTCTGCCACCTCATTTCATCAAACAAATCATCATTCTGGTCAAAGAAGGAGGACACCTTGCTGCCCTGGTCATCTCTCTCCGCCGTGTTATAAACACGTAGCTTGGTCTCTGGGGTCAAATACTCACAGATTTCTGGGATAGGAAATACTATCTGCTCCATGGTTCGATCCTGGCGCACAATCTGAACAATTGTTTAAAAAGAGAAACTGTTACTATATAATGTACTGTAATGTAATGTACTGTAATAAAATGTAATATATCAAAGTCTTATCTAAGCTAGCTAGCTAAATGTGTCCAGGACCAGTAATGTGTGGACAACCCTCTATTTATGATTGTATTTGTAAGTTTTCCAGTGACAGTAGAAATTATGAGATAAAGTGGTGTAATTTTCAAGTTAATGTAATAACAATAAAGTACATGGCGGTGGATCACCACCACCTACAATATCAAAGTAGTCTAATCTCCCTTGTAATCTCCTATCTCAGCAACTGACCTCAATCTGTGCGGTGTGTTTGGCATAGTACTCCAGGGCGATGTCCCCAGGGGTGGAAGGGTGTCCCGGGGCCCCGCTAGGCTTCAGCATCCCAGCTAATTCACGGTTGTGTTGAGCAAGCTTTAATACAAAAAGATATTTCTAATGAAAAAATATGCTTATCAATAATCTAAATGAGACACTTTAATAATGTTCTTAATATTACTTTATGCATGTTAATCTTAAATTGTTCACTTTAAAAATTTGGTATGACCATGATTCAGTCCTTAGGCAGTGAAAGGGTGGGGGGAAGGGTATGCAAACCACCCTTTTGCTATGGAAATGGCCTACCTAGAATCAAAATTTTCAGAAATGTACCCTCTTTGAAATTGTTGGTTACATGGCAATGACATGAATTATACCTTAAATAGTATCAAAATACTAAGGAAGGCAAACCTCACCTGATGAGCAAGAATATAAATATTGTGTCCGACATTCTTGGGAGAAGCCTGATTAACATCATCACTGTCCATCTCCACCTCTTCATCTTCTTCCTCTTGGTGGAATGCATTCTTGGACACATCAACCTGGAGAAGACAGCAGATTGCACATAGCTGCACATCTAACACAACCCGGCACCTCAACACTGGGTTTACACTGCTTTGCTCACCTAACAGTAGAATCTGTAGACAGGATCTTATGTAATCTAGATTAATAGGTTATTTCTGCACAATAGCATTTGACCTTATCCTTATGTAATTGGAAATAATGTGTATATAAGATATACATACATACATACAGTGTGTATATAAATTTCTTGTATAGATTGGCAAGTGTTGCATAAAACTAAAATACCCATTCATATGCATGGTTTTTAACATGTGACAAATTCATAACACCTATGCACAAGGGGTACATTCTTTTTAACATCTTTGCTACATTAGGAAACAAACAAAATTCTAAATAAAAACTCATTTCTCTGGAGCTTGATACTCTTGGTGTGGCAACTTAATCCATGCCATCTATTGGTGCCACCTGGTGACCGAAGAGCAGCATATGGTAAAGTAATGAACCACTGGCTGCTAAAACTGCCTTGGATACACTACATCCCCTATCTAACCCTTTTACAACACCATGCTCTGATAATATGAAGTATTTCAACACTGTGGATGTTAGTATTTACAGCCAAATGTTTGTAATAGACCTTAAGGGAGTATATAGGATGATATTAAATATCTGAGTGATCAGAAAGTTCACAAAACTTAAGATGACAAGATGCTGACAATAGTAAGTTTTCCATTAAGGTATAAAAACTAAAAAATGAAAAGTGCACAGGGTGGGAAATATCTTCCCTAAATCCATGCATCAGACAGTAGACGCCACGGAGACAATACGTCACTATAACAACAAATACCAGTGGACTGAGAGCTGGACTTGATGCCAGTCCAAACTACAGAGGAGGTTTCACAAATAAGGACATGCTTTTTTCTGAATCAGAAAGCCACACTATTATTTTAAGAACTGGCATGAAGAAAGTTAAAAAAGGGGAAGGGTTGTAATAACTGGAGCATCAACAAATGAATTCAAATGAAGGACTACAACTGCTATAAAACAAAAGTCTACTGAATAAACTTAAACTAAAGCCAGCACCTATCACCCCATTATGTCCAAATGGTCTTTGATAACCCAGTTCTTTCTGCAGGGATGACAATGACCTTTGTGCAAGAGGCTTTAAAACATCAGGTATAATATAAAGCAAAGAAAATAACAAATAATGACTGAATGTGATGAATGTGATGAATACCCTCTTTCCCTGTATCCCTTTTGTCAGACGTCCAAGACAACATAAGACGTCTGACTTCAGTAGCAAAGAAAACATCACCTCAGCCATTGTCATCCCTGTTGGGTGATAGGTGGTATAGAACAGAAACTGCAATCTACAGAGCTACTCAGTCCTGTGACCTGCAGCATGGTCAAAGTGATTTCTCCTCTCATCACAGCTTTGTAGAATATTGCCAAAACAGCATCAACCTAAAATATGATGGCAGTTATAGTAGCATCCTTCTAACACAGGGGGCTATCACTGAACTTCTGTTGATAACCCTGCTCTGTCCTGCCTACCCACAGGCTGCCCTTAACAGCACAGGGAAATGTTGCTCTGATGGGGAAGATTGGACTATACTAGTCTGGGTCTGTATGAAGTACAATACTGTACAGATAGTATAGGGCAGATATTGTCAAGACTGTGAACCCTGGACTGGGATGAATCTATATCATTAAATAGGAAACCCATTGAGATATGGCAAACTGCTTAACTGTACCCTGAACTTGAGACTACTGAAGCAAATTTTTTTCAGCCAAAGCAGACTAGTCTCCTTCAGTTGAAATATTGTCTGCAACATTTAGAGTTTTAGGGTACTTGACTGTCATGACAGTCTGACAATGTTGTGTCGACGTCAGGGTACTTGACTGTCATGACAGTCTGACAATGTTGTGTGGATGTCAGGGTACTTGACTGTCATGACAGTCTGACAATGTTGTGTGGACGTCAGGGTACTTGACTGTCATGACAGTCTGACAATGCTGTGTGGACGTCAGGGTACTTGACTGTCATGACAGTCTGACAATGTTGTGAGGACGTCAGGGTACTTGACTGTCATGACAGACTGGAAGTGTTTTATGGACAGGACGAAAACAAATGACAACATACTTAAATAAATGTTACCAAGGTGAATTAAATTGTTTTTATTTGTTAATATCTACCTTTTAAACTTACTACCAACTAAAATTTAAATACAACAAACTGCACAGTAATATTTTCCCTGACTTATACAAAATTTGACAGAATGTATAACAAAAAGAAGTATTAACCAGTAAATTAAAGAACAATAAAATCATTATACTTAGGAAAATAAAATGGAATCTATTACATGGACTAAGATTCATTCTTTTAGAATTAATAGCTGTCTATAAAATGAACCAAGTGCCTGTAATCTAGAGACGAGAAAGATCTTACCAACTGCTTGGGGCTCATGTTATACAGAATTCTCTCAGCATTCTCACTGTCATGGCGACTCTCCATAATGGCCAGCAGCAACTTGGAGGCATTGTCCTAAATTCATTATAGGGTTATCTCATAATGGTTGTAGTATCATAACTGTTTGTAGATACAGAAATTGTATTTTAGGATCATATCAAAAATGGTTGTAGAAACAGAAAATCATACTGTATATTTGAAGAACTACAGGTCCACCAAACGTGTTCCACCAGCAAAAGTTACATAGTAAAATGGGATAGCAACAGAAGAAAGCATTATTTGAATAGATTTTTTTCCTAATCAAGCAAAGTAAGTTCTGAGGATGACCAACCCTCAGCCTACCTTGAGTTCTAGCACCAAGTCCATGCGTTGCTTCCCGAGAGGATTGATGTCATTCAGAATCAGGGCTATGATGATATCTATCCCATTACTCTCATGTGTAGCAATAGCATTCTGAAACCAAATCAATCACACAAGTATTATGTTATACAAAAAAAGGAGCCATGATGAAATCCAATATCATTTTTTTCACATGTATCAGCAAACTGTTCTAAAATGAAAACATATGGTTGTAAGACAGAACATTCAGTATTTGCTTTATACCAGTTACTAAGTGAAGTTTTTCTATTGTTCAGTGTGAATAGAGCCATACCTGGTTATCATGACAGGGTCCCTGACAGAACTCAGTCAGTGTGTTCAGGGTCTGGTTAATGAGGCCCACATTATCCTCATTAATATACAGTCCCAGCAGCCCCAGACCCCCAGTGGTGCTGCCACAGATACAGTCCAAAAACTGCAGTGTCTCACACACCAAGTTGTAGTTGGTCTTGTTGCTTTGGCTCTTCAGATAGTTCTGAAAAAAGGGAGGACCATCAATACTAATTATATTGGGGAAATGAGATAAAAACTTTATTCTCAACAGTTTATGAATGATTTGGCTAACTAGTATCTAATCTAGATTTAATATGAACATAAACTTTAAAAGGAAGTGCTCACATTCAGGCCAACACAAATATCCTGACCCAAACCTGACACAAAGTGAATCTCACCGTCCAGTTGTTATCATCTACACCCTGAGTACCCCAGACTTCTATCACCTCCTCCCTTCCCTCACCTGAAGATCTCTGTTATGTTATTATCTACACCCTGAGTACCCCAGACTTCTATCACCTCCTCTCTTCCCTCACCTAAAGATCTCTGTTATGTTATCATCTACATCCTGAGTACCCCAGACTTCTATCATCTCCTCCCTTCCCTCACCTGAAGATCTCTGTTATGTTATCATCTACACCCTGAGTACCCCAGACTTCTATCACCTCCTCCCTTCCCTCACCTGAAGATCTCTGTTATGATTCTCACAGAGCAGTTGCAAGAACCTCAAAATTGGCTGCATCACAGCAATTTCCAGAGACACTTTCTTCTCCTCTTTCTCCTTGTGTGTCACAGCCTTGTCACCAAGGAGATCATCAATAGATGCCTGCTGAGAGCGGGAGTCATCGTCACGGCTACGGACTCTCCTCACCATGGCAATGGCTTTACTGGTTTGAACAGCTGCCTCCTCCAGCTCTGACCTCAACTCCTCATTGACCACTGGACCCTGACTCTTGTCTGGAACAGTAGAGAATTAGTTCACTATTAGTCAATAAATTCATTAAAATGATTCCTTATATTGGTAAACCATTTTATAATCCATAGCTGTAGGGTTAATAAGCCAACATGAAGCACTTTATGTTATTAATGGTGCCTACATCCACACTGTCCAGTTTTACATCTATAACCTTCTTCACAAATGAAGTGTGTGGTCCAAAATGAAGTATAGCTACCTTTCTTTTTATCTTTCTTTCCCTCATGCTTTGGTGCCTCCTTGTGAATTTCATCTTTCTTTTTCCCTGTTTCACTTTCAGTGTTCACAGTGACAGTGCTTGACTTGATCTCTGTTTGTGCCTCCCTCATACGGTCAAAGAAAACACGGAAGAATTTTTCTGAATTCTTCTCTGTAGTTAGACGCAGGAACAAGGACCTCTGTAATGAAACAAAATCATTAAGGCTACATGTAGTATTTTTAACCAAGGGCTGTGTACATTCAAGTAGAACAATTTAATTGTCAGACATAAATCAGTGCACAAGCTGAATGCTAATGACTGTGTCTTTCCCCTTTCTCTCCAGAACTCCCAAGTTACCTGTAAGTTGCTGTTCTCCTTTCTTCCCTGCCCTTTCTCTCCAGAACTCCCAAGTTGCCTGTATGGAGCTGTTCTCCTTTCCTCCCTGCCCTTTCTCTCCAGAACCCTTAAGTTACCTGTAGGGTGCTGTTCTCCTTCCCTCCCCGCCCTTTCTCTCCAGAACCCTTAAGTTACCTGTATGGTGTTGTTCTCCTTCCTTCCCCACCCCTCACCTTTCTCTCCAGAACCCTTAAGTTACCTGTATGGTGCTGTTGCCCCCTTCCAGCAATGCTATCCCCAGTTCCACTGCCTCCAGGAAGACCTTGTGACTGAAGTTATTGATGACCAGGTCCACCACTAAGTCTGAGGCACCATGGGCATCCAGGTGACACTGAGAGAATGAAAGATCAACTGTGAAACATGCCCCTCACTTCTATATTTGGATTCACTTATACAGAAAACAAGATCAGGAGTTGACATAAGCAATAATATACATTAAAACCTCAATGATATTTTGAACAAATTATTTTCAGTTTCAAAACAGTAAAATGAATTGAAAAAAATATGTAAGAAATTAACATACCAACTGACATACTCAACATTTCCCAAATTACCATAAAATCCATGACTTACCAAATAGTAATTCAACAATATTATCCAATAAGAATTGATAAGTTAAATTTTGAACTCATCTTCAGTTAATCTATAATATCTGTACTCCAGCCAGTGTCATGTCTGCCCTGCTGAGGACCACAGCCCCAGGACTAATGTCCTCTGATTTCTTACCTGTACTTCAGCCAGTGTCATGTCTGCCCCTTTACAGGACCACTGCCCTCTGATTTCTTACCTGTACTTCAGCCAGTGTCATGTCTGCCCCTTTACAGGACCACTGTCCTCTGATTTCTTACCTGTACTTCAGCCAGTGTCATGTCTGCTCTGCTGAGGACCACAGCCCCAGGACCACTGCCCTCTGATTTCTTACGCTTGTCATGTGCAGTATCAGTTTTTCTGGCCCGAGGGTGAGCTTTCCCATAATACCTCGTCAGGAGACTCTGTCGCAGAGCTTCACCCTTTCAAGAAAAAATACAGTAACTGGTAAAAAGAGGATGAAATGTTACTTCATCTTGGTAAAAACTTGTCAAAGAATGCTCATATTGAAACTGGACATAATAAAGTTATAGCCATTTATTATCAAGCCAAGTCAGAGAACATGTGTCTAAGGTTATAAGAATATCATTTTTCTGGATATTTTAATATACCTTGCTAATGTGAATTATAAAACACTGTCAGAATACAGACTTGGATCATGTATGATAACTTATAAGACTTCCCTTGCTGTATTTCACTTGTTTACTGTAATAATGCTCAAAGGCAAAAGTATTATACATCATATTTATTGGTGTAAATAAAGCACCCATATTTGATAAAGAGCAGCTTTTACTGCTACCACAATACATACTAGTACTGGTACATGTATCACATACACACAACAGACATGCCAGGATCATGTCGTTTCAGTAGGACAGTCAGATTTTCTATTGAAGCAGAAATAAGCATCAGCAATGCAGTAAAAATTGCATTCTAAAGAAAAATAAGTGGCTGAAGGTTTATACTGGGAGTAAGTTACACAGATTAAAAAAAAAATTTAAACATAAATCAACTTGATCTATTCTCTACAACATAATTGTTCACCACAATAAAATCATGATATAGAATAGAACACTTCTTAATATCTAAGTAAGCTGTTATAAGTTTCTTACCCATGCAAAATAATCATATCAAAAGCATATTTACACTGTACATTTAGACAACTCCCATTGGGGGTTTACTTACTGAACAGCTAACGATCACAGACCATTCTTTAATTCTTTTAGCATCCCATCCAGTAAAAAAAGTTATATTTATTATAGTGGGATTACTAAACTGATCAAACATCACCCCATTTTAAAGGACTGCAGTCACTCAATACAGGCACATGTACAGTATGTATCGTAAATCAACAAAGGGAAATATCAAACATCACCCCATTTTAAAGGACTGCAGTCACTCAATACAGGCACATGTACAGTATGTATCGTAAATCAACAAAGGGAAATATCAAACATCACCCCATTTTAAAGGACTGCAGTCACTCAATACAGGCACATGTACAGTATGTATCGTAAATCAACAAAGGGAAATATCAAACATCACCCCATTTTAAAGGACTGCAGTCACTCAATACAGGCACATGTACAGTATGTATCGTAAATCAACAAAGGGAAATATCAAACATCACCCCATTTTAAAGGACTGCAGTCACTCAATACAGGCACATGTACAGTATGTATCGTAAATCAACAAAGGGAAATATCAAACATCACCCCATTTTAAAGGACTGCAGTCACTCAATACAGGCACATGTACAGTATGTATCGTAAATCAACAAAGGGAAATATCAAACATCACCCCATTTTAAAGGACTGCAGTCACTCAATACAGGCACATGTACAGTATGTATCGTAAATCAACAAAGGGAAATATCAAACATCACCCCATTTTAAAGGACTGCAGTCACTCAATACAGGCACATGTACAGTATGTATCGTAAATCAACAAAGGGAAATATCAAACATCACCCCATTTTANTATAAAAAAGATAAAAAGTCATCATATTTTTTATGTTAATAATACTAAGCATATTAAAACTTTACAGCTTTACATAACACCATACAAATGATACCAGAAATTTAATAAAATCTTTTCAGTATTTTGCAAAAACACAATGCCATAATAACACCATCTTAACTTGTGGAAAAAGCAATGTTCTAACCAGAAAAAAAAGCAAGCAGCAGCTGCTTGCTCATCAAACAGCTAAAGAAAACAGTAACTACAGTGTTTCCTAACAACTCATTGACCCTATGTGTGATGTTAACAGTGCCTACCGAAAGCATGCTCAAGTTTGAAAGTTCCATGCAATATAAAGAGAGCCAACTAGAGCTACAATGTACCAGCTAGAATGACAACAAGGCTACAGCGCCCTCTACAACAGAAACTTCACCACTGGGATTAACATAAAGCATTATAGCGGCTAGGGTGAATAACTGTTTCTTCACTTCCAACTCAAGATTAAAGGGTGGTCTGCTGTTTTATAGAAAACAAAGATCACTCAACAATTATGTCTAAAAAGACAATAGTTTTGCTGCAGAATTACCAAAAAATTAGACGAGATATTTTTCTTTTTGATGCAGTCACAAGTAACTGTTCCATGCAAATTTCAAATGCAGAAATTCTACCAAATATCTTATAACATACATATAATTTAGTAAATGTTATTTATGTCTCCCCACCTCATGAAATAATTCAGATGTCCTTGTTCACAAAAATATCAAACTATGTCACAGCAGAGCACCCAGTGAGAAATACACTGTACATCCATATAACTGAAGGGGGAATATTTGACTTCATATGCCACATTAATATGACAACAATGGCACCGATTTAGTTACCCTTTTATGGTCATCACTCTCTTTCTTGTTCATACTCTTCAAGTCCAACTTGGATCAAAAATGGAAACAAAACAATTATGTGCTAGCAAAGAAGAGAGCAGACAAGACCTACATGGTGATATCATACCAACTAGCTGGCAATGAGGGCTAACCTTACTAAGTCTCCTCCACATTTAATGTGACTTCAATTAATATCTAGTAATTACATACATTGCCTCAGTCATTTCTTCAATGTTACTACAGGAAAGCTGGCAGATAGAAATGTTGAAAACATGCAAAACAAAAGCAAACACATATGACAGTTTACTCAACAAGCTGCAAAAGAAAATAAAATGAGTGAATAAATTGGATATCAAAGATGAACTGTAGAGGGTTTTTTTTCTTTTTTTTGTGTGTGTCTTGTGTCATCATAAGAAGTGGAGTATAGAGTACACTGTCAACTTACATTGTTAGTATTGTAATAAGAATGATATAAATTCATTTCCACGACTTCATAAAGAGTACCATGTTGTACCTGATCTCTATGACACCTGTGGAATTTAAAATAACACACCATAGGAACACAACCAACTCCCAACTACAGCTGTGATGATGGTCTAGCTGAGTACAACTTTTGTGTCTTATGTTGGTATCCCACATCAAATGTCTTCATAGTATCTTTCTACACACATGTTATCAAGTAAACTGTCTACACAAGTATTTAAGTGCTAGAGACAGTTTGATCAGATCATTAAGAAAAAATAAGTGCTGAAAGTTATTTAAGTTCATAAATGAGAGTTTTCACTCCTCCTAGAAGAGATCATATTCAATAAAGGAAATGCTACCATTCAATGTCTCTTAGAAAGATATCACTAGTATCAAGGGTTATATATCAAGCTAACAGTAAAATCAGTGTAAGCAGGAGACAGATGCATATAGCAATGAGATGTGATCAAACCAGGTCTGGAGTTTAACAGGACCATATCTCACATATACAGACAAACAGTGAAGTCAGCCAATAACCAGGCCCCTGTTTAACAAATAATCTTAAATCTGTAGTTGATTAGTTCAAGCTCAATGACCTAGCTAGGTCAACTACCCTGCAGTTGACTAGGGCCCCATTACATATATCACTTGTAGCACAAATTTTGCATTTAACCATTTAACCTGCTTAATGTTAGGACTGTTGAATCAAAAGTTGTGCGGCTAATCCTTGGCTATAAAAAAATGCTGCCTGTGACTGTGGTAGGTAACAGTGCCTTGAGGAATTGACCTTGACCTACTGACCTTGACCTACTGACACTGACATCAGGAGGCCAATGCTCACAGTGGCATTGGTTTTCAAGGAAAACTCACCTTCTCTCCATAATCTGAGTCCACTGTCATCATCTCTTTGAGGGTCTGGAGGACCTTAATACACAGCGGTTCTTCCTTGTCCTCCAACAACCTTTCTGTGTGCTTGATCAACCTAAAGATACAAGAAACACATGTTATATACTAGAAAAGCATTCCGAGAGCACAGACCTCTGCCAAAGCAGCAATTTTTGATTATTATTGATTGATTAATTACTTATCCGGATCACCACCAAAAACTAATCATCTCTTCCTTGGCTCACTTCTGACAGTTCCTGAAATTATCATCAAAATCAGTCCGAAACTTTTTGAGTTATGTTGATGACAGACGGACAAACAAACAGGCAAACAGGAGTGGAAACATAACCTCCTTGGCGGAGGTAATAAGCCTTGATCCATCTGAAGATACAAGGAACACATGTTATATGGTTTAATATGTCTTGATCCATCTGAAGATACAAGGAACACATGTTAATTGGTTTAATATGTCTTGATCCATCTGAAGATACAAGGAACACATGTTAATTGGTTTTATACGATGTGCCTTAGAATGGAGATAAGAATCGAAGACGTCAAGTTATAAAGCACCTTCAGAAAATAAGAAGAATATTAAAAATAGGGAAAAAATAAGAATTTTATCACAAAAATATGGAAAAATAGGAATTATTCCACAAGAAAGATGGCCTCTCAACACCCCTAAAGCTATACCAGTGTAATACGCATCTTTAACTGTTGTACATAGTAAGTAACACAACATGTGATATTAAGGTAACTCTATTCAATACTGTTACTGTAACATATCTGTTCACATACATTTCAAACACTGTGCTTATGTAGCCAAAAACATTGTAAACTATCAAAATCATCAAATTTTAACTTTTGGGGGCTTTTTTTCTTTTGCAATTTTGTAATGTGATATGAAGAGCGTACAACCTTGAAATAAATCCCCCACTCTCGCAGTGCTTTCTTGCTGCCGTGGAGGGAGGAAAGAGGAGCTCAGGTCTATGGAGGACATCCACAAGTACAGACAGTTCTGCCTGCACCAGGGGATGAAGCTGATCCTCCAACAGTGCCACAATGTCCTGAAATATGATGTTTTTAATATTGATACAGTATCTCCTAAAAATTAAATTTTGTACATGGTGCACTTGAATGTTATACTTTATCATTTGCAAGGAAAATGTTCACCTGTACTAGACAGGCTTTCCATTAATCATTTCATTTATTATTTGTGGCCAATCAAAATAATTCCAGCAAATATCAATTGAACCAAAACCCCTTTACCAGTTATCGGTCTGGCCAGCATGTGCCAAATGACAACACCAATGACATAAATAGATTACTTATGTTTGTGTAATAACCGAAAAGTCACCTGCAAGCCTTCAATGATACTCCTGTAGTCCCTAGAGATGGTGATGAGAGAATCTTTGCGGTGTTTGCCCACATTCAGCCACTGTCTTGTGTGTTTCCTTACCAGCTGAGACTGGGAGAACATGGTGTTCACTTGGCTGTCTAGGTCCACTGGGATAGCAATACCACGGGCCTTGGCTAGAATAATGGAGGACGTCTGAACTTAATATATATGTCTTAATATTAAAATGGGATAGTAATAGCACAGGCCTAGGCTGGAATAATACAGGAAGTCTGAACTTAATATATAGTCTAAATATACTGAGTCCAAACAAAGAGAAACAGTCTCCTTCCTACATCAGGTAGAGTCAATGCAGTTCTCCACATTGTTAACCATAGTAACAGTCTCCTTCCTACATCAGGTAGAGTCAATGCAGTTCTCCACATTGTTAACCATAGTAACAGTCTCTTACCTATATCAGACAGAGTCTTAATGCAGTTCTCCACATTGTAAACCATAGTAACAGTCTCTTACCTATATCAGACAGAGTCTTAATGCAGTTTTCCACATTGCAAACCATAGTAACAGTCTCTTACCTATATCAGACAGAGTCTTAATGCAGTTTTCCACATTGTATTTCTGGGCACCAGAGAGCCAAGTGCAGTGGGAGAGGCGGAAGGCACCTTGGAGCAGCTGAACAAATATGGGCTGTCTGGTCTGGAATGAATTAAATGTTTCTTTTCTTTAAACGACTGATCTTCAAAAATCAAGAGAGAGAGAGAGCAGTATTGGATAAAAATGGTGAACTGTAAAGGACTCTACGAAAATTCTCAATAATTATTGCTACTTTTCTGTGCCAAAATCCTATAAACTATCCTTGAGGTAATGTGTGTTCATCAATGACTTAAAAAGAGAAAGCTATCTACCTGTACTATAGTAACCACCTACCTGTACTGTAGTGCTCTGGTCAGAGAAAGGTGACCACCTACCTGTACTGTAGTGCTCTGGTCAGAGAAAGGTGACCACCTACCTGTACTGTAGTACTCTGGTCAGAGAAAGGTGACCACCTACCTGTACTGTAGTACTCTGGTCAGAGAAAGGTGACCACCTACCTGTACTGTAGTACTCTGGTCAGAGAAAGGTGACCACCTACCTGTACTGTAGTACTCTGGTCAGAGAAAGGTGACCACCTACCTGTACTGTAGTACTCTGGTCAGAGAAAGGTGACCACCTACCTGTACTGTAGTACTCTGGTCAGAGAAAGGTGACCACCTACCTGTACTGTAGTACTCTGGTCAGAGAAAGGTGACCACCTACCTGTACTGTAGTACTCTGGTCAGAGAAAGGTGACCACCTACCTGTACTGTAGTACTCTGGTCAGAGAAAGGTGACCACCTACCTGTACTGTAGTACTCTGGTCAGAGAAAGGTGACCACCTACCTGTACTGTAGTACTCTGGTCAGAGAAAGGTGACCACCTACCTGTACTGTAGTACTCTGGTCAGAGAAAGGTGACCACCTACCTGTACTGTAGTACTCTGGTCAGAGAAAGGTGACCACCTACCTGTACTGTAGTACTCTGGTCAGAGAAAGGTGACCACCTACCTGTACTGTAGTACTCTGGTCAGAGAAAGGTGACCACCTACCTGTACTGTAGTACTCTGGTCAGAGAAAGGTGACCACCTACCTGTACTGTAGTACTCTGGTCAGAGAAAGGTGACCACCTACCTGTACTGTAGTACTCTGGTCAGAGAAAGGTGACCACCTACCTGTACTGTAGTACTCTGGTCAGAGAAAGGTGACCACCTACCTGTACTGTAGTACTCTGGTCAGAGAAAGGTGACCACCTACCTGTACTGTAGTACTCTGGTCAGAGAAAGGTGACCACCTACCTGTACTGTAGTACTCTGGTCAGAGAAAGGTGACCACCTACCTGTACTGTAGTACTCTGGTCAGAGAAAGGTGACCACCTACCTGTACTGTAGTACTCTGGTCAGAGAAAGGTGACCAGCTACCTGTACTGTAGTACTCTGGTCAGAGAAAGGTGACCACCTACCTGTACTGTAGTACTCTGGTCAGAGAAAGGTGATCCAAAAAAGGTGACCAGGATGCTCATGATGGTGGTGCTGACATAGTTCTCCAGCACTGTGTCTGCATGCTTTCTGTCATGAGTTGCATTACACACCTATAGGGGGAGACACAGTTTTCAATGTTTGTGTGGTGGATCACACTATGCTAAGTCTACTCATTATGGAGGAAACTTTGAAGTTAAGACAAAGTTGTTTGTCTAAAGGGTATTTATTTACACAAATATAATGAAATGGTTAAGATCAACAATTACTAAAATCAAAAGTTTGAAAGTGATAATAATAAATTTTAATTTCTGACAACTTATTACATCAATAATTTGCTTGCTCAAATCAACTAATAAAACTAAACAGTTGACTGTTCAATTAGTTATTGAAATAGGACAATGTTAAAAGTATTAGCATAGATTACCTTATTTTAAAAAGTATGGTGTTTCTAAATGCTTTTGATATAAAATGTTGCAAAACTATATCTATCCATAATTTTGTGTTTTATGTTTTGCCAGTGCCTATACCAGATGGCAGTGACTGGTGCCAATTTCTAAGAGATAGCTACAATAAATAACTGTTCACAACACAATGCTACAACACATAACAGATAAAGATAACTTCAACACACACAATAATACCTCTACTACCTCCCACAGGCTGCCACCTTTCAGCCGTACGCCAGAAGCCTAGAAAAGGGGAATGGACAAACTGTGCAGGTTAAGCAAAGCTACAGCATGATACACATAACACACAGACCTGGGCTCACTGCACCTGCTTACGACAGATTTTGCAGAAAGTTTTTAATTCTGATGGCCAAGTTACATTCATATAACAACTAGCCAATAGACAATGCAGACAGTAGAGTGAGCCAAGTCATCAAAGAGCATCTGCATACTCAAGTCTGTAGGCAAGTCTGATAGCTACAGACCTGAGTGTGACTCTTACATACAGCTGATATTACAAGCACATGCAGCATAATCTACAATCATTGTAGATCTGATGGTCTGAAGTATAAACTGATAGCTACAGACCTGAGTGTGACTCTTACATACAGCTGATATTACTAGCACATGCAGCATAATCTACAATCATTGTAGATCTGATGGTCTGAAGTATAAACTTGAACCAGGAGCATATAATACACAATATATGCCATCACCTACCAATTAATACCATACCATATAGGTTAGTCAAGGCCAGGTATAAAACCTCCCCATTACCATGAACAAATTCTTTCTATGTCCAAATAAAAGCATGCATCACATGTCTTCAGTACAAGATTTATCAACTAAACAGAAAAGCTTGCAAATATACAGACAACATCATCAGTGAAACAGTAACAAAAACAAAAAGCACTATGCAGTAATAAAGACTTTCAAGAGGAATCTTCCTTTTTCTTCACAAAGCAAGGAGCAAATTTGAAGTAATTAAAAACAAAAATACAATTTGGCACTTATGCAGTGAATGATGTCAAAATACATGAAAAAGACAGTGAAGATGTCAATGTACAAACATAAAGCAGAAAATAATGATGACAGTGCACAAAATGATATTACATAATGCTATACATATCAAAACAGACAGATTATTCTACTTACACTTTATATGATTTTTCTCTATAAAAGCCACATGCAGAGATATCCATGCACAATGCCAATAAACAACAAAAAATAACAATTTTATGTGTAAGGTGTCATAACATAAATTCATCAATAGAATGTAAATCTCAATATGGGGGACTTCCAGTTAACAACAGTTGCTGTGTAGACACAAACATGGTGATGCCTTCTTTAGAGGATCAGCACAGCAGTAGGCATAATGCACCACAGCTGTAATAATAATACAGCTAATTATTACCATTACCATGTCAAACCAATCCACACTTACTGGTTGTTTATTTCCTAGATTAACCATAGAAGCTCCAGCATAAAGAGATGTACATTTCTATGATGATCATGTGCAAGGTTTGACCAGGGATAGGGATGGTCAAGGTAACTGATTTGATCCTTAATTTGATCCTTTTTGAACAAAATCAGTTAAAGCAGCAGTGTCATCAGGCTGGTAACCATGATGCCAAACCTTGTTATAATACAGCAGGTCAGAGCATGCCACCACCACTAACTAGTATCTAGGGCTTGCAAGACAGAAAAATATGCCTTCCTTTCCAAACTCACTACTTACAGTTGCCATGTCAACCAGGAACCCCTCAAACAATGTCCACATGTGGTTACTGGTGTATATCTCCTTCATCTCCACCTCAGTGTCCACATAACAGTGGTTCAAGAAGTTGATGTAAGCACTCTTCACCTGAACAATGTCAAATATGGATACCATGTGGAGAAGATAACATATATCTTTATATACTCATTAGCCCCATGTACCAAGGCTCTTATAGTTTGAATGAACTGATACACATTACACAAGAATAACATTGAGCTAATAGGGCTTAAGTTGATCTAATTCTGAAAATGCATGAAAATAGGTCAAGCTGCCCCAATTAAGATATAAGTATTACCTCAGGAATACAGTCTCCGTGTGTGACGATCCTGACGATGTCATCCAGGGGCAGCAGAGAGTGACACTTGATCTCTGTGTAGACATTCTTTCCCTCAGTGCAGTAAGCCAAGAGCTGGACCAGGTTGATATGGTAGTTCAGAGGGCTGTTCTCATCCAGGCGGTTCCGCTCGGATCTCATCAGTTGGACCAGGGTTTGGAAAGATGCCTTGTCATTGTAGAACAGGAGGACATCTTCACCAACATTGACCAACTGTAAGGTAGAGGGGTGGGACAAAAGAATATCTGATCATAAATCATTAGCAATGTCTCAAGCAATAAAAAAGTATGTTCAAAAATTTTCAGATATAATTCAAAATTGCACTGATACCACTACAATTAAAGAAATGTCAGATCCAAATTATCACAAAACTTTAGAAGCCATACCTCTGACATCACCATACCTTTGACATCACCATATCTCTGATATCACCATATCTTTGACATCACCATATCTCTGACATCACCATACCTTTGACATCACCATACCTCTAACATCACCATATCTCTGACATCACCACATCTCTGACATCACCATATCTCTGACATCACCATACCTCTGACATCACCATATCTTTGACATCACCATATATCTGACATCACCATATCTCTGACATCACCACACCTATGACATCACCATATATCTGACATCACCACATCTCTGACATCATCATACCTCCAACATCACCACACCTATGACATCACTATATCTTTGACATCATATCTCTGACATCACCACACCTATGACTTCACCATACCTCCAACATCACCACACCTATGACATCACTATATCTTTGACATCATAACTCTGACATCACCACACCTATGACAACACTTTATCTTTGACATCATACCTCCGACATCACCATATCCTGACACTTTCTGATAAAAGTGCCTTCTGACTTCACAATGGTCTGTAGAAACTTCAGGTACTGCACATGTCGGCCATGTGTCTCAATACAGTGGACGTAGTGCTGGACCACTCTCTCTGTCACCTCATTGCACAGGTTGACGTTGTCTTGGAAAATGGCACGTGCTGTTTGTGCCTCCAAAAGCTGGAACAGTCAAAGGTGCATGAACTGTATAGAAGAACTGAAATACTTTTACACCAACAGCTTCTATAAGCAAAGCTAAAAAAATATTAATTGTTGTCATCAATACCATCAATGAAATTATATTTAAAAACAGCATACAACATTTCCAGGTTTTACAAAAAGTTTGTGCATAGTTAAGTGTAGACTAGAATGACATGAAGAAAAACACCAAATGTAAGTTAAAGAGAAAACAGAGTAGAATATGAATTGTGTGGATATTATAAAATATAGAATACACTGGTGAAAACTATAACATGCTAGCAACCAAATTAAAATGGCTGGTACCAAAAAATCTTTGGCTAAAAAATCTAAGATTTTAATATCATATGCTTATAACCACTTTGCTTGTCTATCAAGCATTTTACAAACATGGCAGACAACTCCACGGTTCATAGGTCAAGTCAATAGTGACCTCACATGCAACAAGCTTTAAAGCAAAACAGATACCTAGGCAATGTCAATTATGGCAAAAAAGGGGGGCAATCATGGTAAGAGTTCAAAATGAATGCCATACAAATTCTGATATTATTTTAAGGAACTGTTGTAATGTAAGTACAGAAGACTAAGATTTAACAAGATGAATGTGCATGCCACTGGCAAAAAATGACCTGTACATGTGGACATATGATGAGAAGATATCATAATTAGAAGGCATGCCATATCTGCAGCAATGTGTAAACAACTCAGACAGGCGCAGGCATTTCTTTGTCTAGTTGTATATATATATACTACATAATGCCAGGGAAACTGGGATCAAATTAAATATTTTGAAATATCTGAAGTGCATTTTAAATAATACTTAAAGTTACCATACCAGAATATCAAAACCATTATCATTAAAACAAGCTGGTATCAATTTTTTTTGAAAAGAATAATGAAATAACTTCACAAGTTGCAGCTGTGGACAAATAAAATGTTAGTCTATAAAAAGTCGTTATGCAGCAGTAGTGGAAAAGGCATCCAAAATGCAAAATTTAAGCCTGGAAAAAATGCATATTAAAGCAGAATTATTTCGTAACAGACTCAAGAGAAACTGTTCAGCTTTGCCTTTTTTGGCTATGATTGCAATTGGCAACACATTGCTTTATGATAGAATGGCCGACCTTTGGTGCCTGAGCAACCCAGTTCGGCACATCAGTTCTGATCATATCTAGATTACATCACACTGGATTTCATATCATAAAGCTGTTACCCAGGGCACTCTCTGAAACTCAGGGTGATTGTGACATATCTAGATTACATCTCCCTGGGTTTCATATCATAAAGCTGTTACCCAGGGCACTCTCTGAAACTCAGGGTGATTGTGACATATCTAGATTACATCTCCCTAAGTTTCATATCATAAAGCTGTTACCCAGGTCACTCTCTGTAACTCAGGGTGATTGTGACATATCTAGATTACATCACACTGGGTTTCAGACGTCATGTCATGAAGCAGCTGCACAGGGCACTCATAGTGTGTACTAACTGCTGTGTTTGAAGCCAATATGGCAAAACTGAAACTTCTTCAGATCAGAGCTGAGCATTTAAATCAGTACTGCCTGTGTTCCTCTGCTCTTCTTTCTACTGCACACCTATGAAGCCAATGAACCTTTGAAGCCTTGGGAACATGCAAGCTCTATACCATCCTCCTCAGTGGGAGATCTCATGGTGAAAAGTTCTATCTGGAATGTCTGGACATTTCAAACTTTAGACATGAAATCACGAAAAAAAAACATGAAAAGGAAGTTTCAGGCATCAGAACACCTGATATTAGAGGAGATGATTAAAGCTGTAGTTACCAGATATGAGGACAAGATGGAGGAGATAAAAGGAGACACAGGGATGCCAAGATCACAGACAGAACTTTTCTCTAGAATAAAATCACAATGCTGTGAATCATTCAATTATCAACCTGCAAAGATGGCTGTGCAACAACAGCAAACCCAAAAAAGTCTATTGATAAACAACAAACCCAAAGAAAAAACAACAGAAAATAAAATTATATATATCAACTGAATTAATGAGTTAAGGTAGACCCAACCGCTTGCAATGCACTTTTCCTTTTTCTTCTCCCTATTGAGTCGACCAAGGCAAGGGGCACACAGATCTAAAACCATGGGAGAACATAGTCAGTACAAGCACAGTGAATTATATGGAGATCACTGAAGCCAGTTTTTTTCACATCTTATGTTCCACATGTATCATTAAGGTAAGTAGAATTGATAAAATCTGACTTTTAAACAAGAAATTATTTAGCACCAAACAGACAAAAGCCAAATAATGTTCTTTGCAAAACACATAAAACCAAATCTGTGATGCAGCAAGACACGTTTCTATGAAATGTTGCCTGTCTATAAAGCATTAAATTTCTTTAAAGGTCTGATTGAAACATAATGATAGACTAATGAAATGATAAGGCCAAATAAGGGTGAACAGGCCCAGTAAGGAGGTGGACGAGGCCAGTAAGGGGTGGACATGGCCAGGAAGGAGGTTAATGAGGCCAGTAAGGAGGTTGATGGGTCCAGTAAGAAGGTGGACAACCCAGTAAGGAGGTTGATGGGTCCAGTAAGGAGGTTGACAAGGCTGGTAAGGAGGTTGATGGGTCCAGTAAGGAGGTGGATGGGCACAGTAAGATGGACCCAGTAAGGAGGTGGACGAGCCAAGTAAGGAGGTGGATGGGCCCAGCAAGGAGGTGGACAGGCCCAGCAAGGAGGTGGACAGGCCCAGCAAGGTGGTGGCTGGGTCTAGTAAGGAGGTGGATGAGCCTAGTATCCTGAAATTGATTAAAGCCGAATAGAAAAGATGGCTAGATAAGAGTATATTTACAGAGAGACAGATGCCCGAATCTAATACCAACTGGCTTAGTGTGTGTGTGTGCGTGTGTGTGCGTGTGTGTGCGTGTGAGAGTGAGTGATGGGGAGAGGAATGAAAAGGGGGTTTAAAAACATATCATACACCAAACTGAACACAATGTGGTAACACTATAGACATTAGTTTCAAAAGTATTCATTTGATACAACAGGAGTGAGGAGTGAGGGGTGGTAGGTGAAACTGGAATTAATGTAGCCCATCATACTTTTAAAATAGCTCTAAGAACACTAAAACAACAGCTGAAAGATTGTTATGATACGGTCCACTTATATGTGTGCAAAGCATTAAAATGTCATGGCTTAATTAGTTTAATTAAAAACTCCCACAAGAAGGCAGCAGTTGGTGGAGTTATGATGAGATTCTGGGAGCAGATTATAACGATGGTGAGGAACTCTCACTGTATTTATGGCAAAATGAAAACTGTACTGACAGTGAAAATATATATCAAATGACCAGACTAAGTGTAGTTTTGACGTTTTTTTTTTTTAATCTAAGAGCAATGCTTTGCACAGTATTTGGTATTATATATTATGTATGGTTGGTTTGTTTTGAAATAACAAAAGGCCTATTCAAAATGGATCTTTGACGAAAACATAGTTGTCTTTTAATCAAACTGAAATGACAGATAACTTGAACTTAAATTCACGCGGTATTTTTCTGCATTCTTAGTATAGCTGAAGTAGAGAAGCTCCCAGTTTCCACCAAATTAGGTCATAATGGTAAATGGAGCAAAAACCAAAAAATCTTCCATACATATTACATAGCGTTAAAGAGAAGTCTGCCACACCTGACCCCCTGCGGTCTACGCCTGACACCCCAAGTCTAGTACCTACCCCCTGCAGGCTGTTTACCTGAAATTCCAACCACAATGTGTTAGTTCTTCACTGTGTTAATGTGAACTGGATGTACACTTCAGAGTATTAACAAAGTAATACATCAAGTGTGCTGATCTCTGTGGTTGTTAGCTTTTGGTTAAATCCACTTTTAGTGTTAAAAATGCATGGTACATTCATTTCTTATTTTAACTGCCTAAAATAGCTGGTGCTTTGAGTCCAGGATGTCAAACAAACATTCTGACATCTCCTTTGTTTAAGTCACGTTCAAATGTCAAAACCAGTCACAATTATGTTTTGATACTTTTTCATGTTAATCCCATGTAATGTTGCTTGGCTTTAAAATCTGCCACTGAAATATTGTTAATTTTGACATACCCTGTATACCATGGTATCAATGTCCTTTTTGTGGAGAAATCTGGTTCATTAATTATATCATGTTGTGATTCATCAATCTATGAATATCCAAGGAACTGGCAGATTACTGGAATCTTCAGGATATGTTGGCAAAAACACCAAATGTAAGATGGCAAGTATTATTTTTAAAAAATACCCAAAATATTTAGTTGTACTGCTATCATTTCTAAAACAATACAGTCCTTGAACAAAGCATAGTGTGCTTTTTGTAATGTTGAGAGCACTATCAATAAGTTACAAAGATTGCCATCTGGATTCTCTCTCTCTCTCTCTCTCTCTCTCTCTCTCTCACACACACACACACACACACACACACACACACACACACACACACACACACACACACACACACACACACACACACACACACACACACACACACACACACACAC